TAGATAGATAGATAGATAGATAGATAGATAGATAGATAGATAGATAGTAGCGGGATGAAGGAAAAGACTAGTTCCCTGACCGGGAATCGAACCCGGGCCGCGGCGGTGAGAGCGCCGAATCCTAACCACTAGACCACCAGGGAGAGCTGAAGCGCCATTTTAAAATGTTCATTTTCAAAGATCACTCACGCAATCGACACAATAATGCAACACTTCCACGAGGTGGCGAACGTATCTAAACTATTTACGCTCACTTCCATTGTCTGTTGGTGTACGAGCTCAGAAGCAGCTCCAATTGACGTCTCGTACGAGCAAACATCTGGACATAAGGGGTTAAACGGAATGGTTAGCAGGTATTACGTCTGAAGTTCAAGTTTCTCTTCAGTCTTTGTGGGCTCGCGTGCTCACCGCCTCGACTGGTTGTTCAAGAAAAAACCGGGACGCTTCGAAACCCAGGAAGAGCATACCCAGGTACGTGGTGCGTTTAAGTTATATGCAACTAAATACTGTTCGTTTTTATTCCCTGTGTATCCCCTCCTGTCGTGTAGACTCACCATGTCGGCCAAAGACTCAATGAGGCGCCACAAAACTGCACTTCAGGTTACTCTATCTGCGGACCGCAGGCTCATCCTGGACAAGGTTTACGCGAGAAAATTGATAACTCCTCGCGAGTACAACAATCTTAAAAGCATCAACAAGGAGAACGACGAGGGACACGTTATAGAGCTCGTGGATAAGCTGATGAACAAAGGAGAAGGGGCCTGCCGGACCTTCCTGGATCTCCTGCAAACCGATGAGGACGTAAGGTCAACCTTCCCAGACCTGCAAAGCATACAGCTGAATGATGGTTTACCACGGCCGGTCCAAGCCTCTTCGCCATTCAGTGGTAGTTTAACACACGAAACCACATAAAAACATTTCGTTTTTAAATGTCATTGTGCCACGTTTGAATTTTGGTTTCACTTTCTCATAGGTGGTCTGTATGAGGACAACAAAAGGCCTAGGATGGTGAGTACTGAGTACTGACAGAGCTCGTTTAGGCGTCATTTCTTTTCATTTGTACATGTTTTATTGGCTTCGGCTCATGGCTAAAGCCTTTCCTCACAGTCGAGACATAGTTATAAGTCTCTGGGAACAGAAAAGTGACGCTTTGTTAACATGTAATTACTCATAATATCAATGGACTCAGAGATGTTTGCATCAGTTGGTAATAAGTTTCCTCTATTTTAAGGATGATGCTTATCCGCTAAACAGCCGGCCTGTGGGCCTCTGTTTGATCATAAACAACGTGAATTTCATGGAAAGCCCTATGAGAAAGGGGTCGGACAAAGACGCTGGTATGTTTCAGACACTCTCTCACACCTTTACGGTGCCGGTTGCCGGTTGAAGCTGAATCCTCTCTGCTTTGAATGAAACCCCCCACAGAAAGCCTGGCGGTGGTGTTCAGCTGGCTGGGCTTCAGAGTGCTTATGTGTAAAGACCAAACCAAGGACCAGATGGAAGAAACTCTGGCCGGCTTCGCCTCCCTGACTGATTTCCTGCAGCCGCATGAGCAGAGCCTTCAGGAGTGGTCAGGTGGTGCGTTCACTGCTCCTCAGCAGCTCCTGGAGCACGGCGACGCCTTCATCTGCTGTGTTCTGAGTCACGGGAGAAAGGGGGTTGTCCTGGGGGTTGACATGAAGCCGCTTGAGATCAAACAAATCACAAGAACTTTCAAAGGGTCTGACCAGTCGTGCCTTACTGGCAAACCCAAAGTGTTCCTGATACAGGCCTGCCAAGGAGGTCAGATACAGCCAGGGGTGTTGCTGGCCAATCTGGAGCCGGACAACTCTGGTTCACAGTCCAACCCAGTGGAAGGAGATGTTCTGGTTGCCATAGCCACAGTTGAAGATTATGTGTCGTTTAGACACCGAACAAATGGCAGCTGGTTTGTCCAATCTGTGTGTCAGCAGCTGAAGGAGCGTTGCCCCAGGTAAGGAAAAAAAAACTTCAAATAAAAAAATAATAATTAAGCATTCATAATATTTACAATTTGTACAGATAATAGTTTTCTTCACTTACAATTTATTTATTTCTAGCAGCCTTTAAATGACAGACTTAAGTAAAAAAAAAAATATGTTTAGTGTCTTTGCTGACCCACTTGAATTTATTTAGAAGTGATTAACAAATTTTAAACCAGCATCACAGTCATTTGGGATGGGGCGAGTTTACCATTGTGTTACATCAGCCTTGAGTGCAAATGATTGTAATCATACTTTTTGGAATTCTTACATGTAATTGACTTTAGAGAATTAAGACTCTTACTCATCCTTACTTAAAATAAACTCTGAATGTTTAGGGGATTTATACCAAATCCTGACACCCTAACATGGTAATATTTTGTCAATGATAAGTACCATAGATTCCAAAATAGTTGGTATTTTAAACGTTGGGCCTTAAAGACAATAAAATTGTCTTTTTAAACTTAAAGTTTAAATTATTATTGCATTTTGAATAATTACCTATCATTTGTTGATATCTGATTGTCTGATCAGTGCCCTCTGGGGTGAGCTGTTAGTTAATCTAATCCTTAGACGTCTGATGCGTGTTTTTATCCACTGTGAAAAATAATTTTAGGGGTGAGGACATCATTTCCATTCTCCACCACGTGAATAATGACGTTGGGCAGAAAGAGGCATGCAGAGTACCTGGTGAGGCCAAGCAGATGCCTGAAGTGAGGTTTACCTTGAGGAAGAAACTGGTGCTGCTGCCCCATCAGGAGTCCAACTAGATCTCTACAACTTTGACAAGCACCCTAAACCTTATTTCTCAAGAAGGGGAATGGTTTCTTTAGATAACTTTTGTGTCATTATTTTTTTAAGTTTGTATTGTGTCAACATTGACTTTTACCAAGTATGTTTATAATGTTATAATAATTGTAATTCTCTAAAAAGCGAATGGTATTTTTGTACCTTTATGGAAAGAATATTTATTACTGCTGGAACTCTGGGATATAAAAACGGTTTTGTCAAAAATTTGGTTCTCGGTCCAGTTTTTTGTTTGCTTGTTTGTTTTGTCTGACATCCGGGAAAATGATGCCCCGTCTCGTTCTGCTTCGTGGGTTTTTTTCTCCGGTGTTCGGGTGGTCTCGTCTTCTTCTCTGATTGATGACGCGCTGACGTAACGCCCCAGCGTCGTTACCATGGCAGCGAGAATTCGTTTTCTTTTTTTTTTTTACTGTTCACGCACGAAAAGACAGCAGAAGGTATAACATAAGTCTATGGTCCGCATAAAAGACCAACAGTGACTTAGCTCTTGTCAAAAGTCTGACTTGTTTTACTGGCGGGAAAAGCCGTCCTAACTTAAGTCACCGTCAGTAATGGACGGTGCCATGTTGGTGGCTGAAGAACCCAAAAGTGCAGCGGAGCTGAGAGCCTCCGACCAAGCTGTCTCATACATGTCCGGCATTGGTGAGTTTGTGTTTTAAAGTGATTACGTCGTATATTTCATTGCTTCATTTGAAGGCAAATACGTGAGAGCAGCTAATGCGGAGGGGAAAAAAGCTTTTAAAATAACTTCAGGAGTCCGTTGTGTTCTGTAATAGAGCCCTCGGAGCTGCAGAGGTGTGTGTTTCCGGAGTCTCTGGTGATGGTGTCGGAGGACAGCAGAGATTTGGGGACATTCAAAGTGGAAGTGGAGTTTTCCCGTCGCCTCGAGCAGCCTTGCATGCTGCTACATGCTCAAAGCCACGGAGCAGCTGGTGGTCACCCCTGTGGGACGACGGTGACAGGTAAAGGCCAGCAGAGGCCCCGGACAGGGAGTTCTCCACTGGTTCCCATTGGCATTTCTCCCTTTTTTGTCACCCCTCTCTTTTGCCACGTTTGACTCTGCAAGCCTTCATAAGTGTTGACCTGGAGGTGCTGGAGGAGGATTGCTTCGAGTATGCAAAGGCTAGTTTATGTATAATTACTTTGCTTCTCTTATAAACTCATAAATGAAAAACCCACCAGCCTGACATTCTTACCCAAATGTTTTTTCACCTTTAGCTTGAAGACCACCGTGTGGAAAAGAGGAGCCACATGGTGCAGAGTGATGGGAGGATGCTGATTGATAAAGTCACCACTGTAGGAGAGGTCAGACGACACCTGCTCAGGAAAGTAGCGATGAAAATACCAATCCGATGCTATGCTTTGGTCACGATAAGCTCAATGTTTCACAAAAGATTTTCTCTCCTGAAGCCACACCTTGCTTTGTTGTATGTGAATGTATGTACAGGAGGTGACAAAAGAAAGTGCCTCCTATGCCATGTCTGACCTCAGAGGGCTGGTCACTGAAGGCTCCAGCCTGCTGCTGATGCGTCTGCTCGCTCTGAGGAAGGAGGTCCCCGATCGCATGGCCTTTATCTCCTTGGATCAGAGTTTGCAAATCACCCCCACCACTTTTGTGAGTGATCACAGCTGTTTACGTCTCCCTGATCTGTAACCCGACTGCTTCGGATTGTAAACCGCTCGACGTTTTGGCTGGGTGTCAGAGCGAGCTGGGCAGGAAGCAGATGGAAATCGGCGACGAGGTCCTGGAGGTGTTTGGGATACAGAAGATGGTTCACTCTGTGGAGGGGAGCTCCCCTACCTGGCAGTGCTTCTTCCTGCAAGATGGGTGAGCTCTATGACTACAGCTTTAAAGAATCCCCTGATTCCACCCGTTACTAAATACTTTGCTATTTTTCCAGTGTTCTTAACTCCATTCTAACGCTGGCAACAACTTTTGTTATTTGATTATAGAATGGAAATACATTAGAATTTTGTAATTAAAGCTGTTCAGTTGTAATAAGGTGCATGTCAAAGGTGGGTTTTAAGGTTTTCTTTTATTTGTTATGATAGAAACCGCTGTTATTTTGGCTCTGAATAGTCTGTAAGTTGGTATTTTATTTCCTCCTTTTATTGTATATGTAAAGCTGCAAACATGTAGGCTGTTCAAAGGTTAAAAAAAGATTGGTTTTACAGACAGCATTTCTATTGGTTGTAAATCACCTGACATAAACGTACAAACTGAAAGCTACCATCAGGGAGGTAAACAAGGATCAGCACCTGATGAGTCACTGCTGGTGACTGGAGTCATCTCAAGCTTTATAGCGTCAGCCACCGTCTGTAAACTTTATTTCTATTCCTGCCAATGAGCATCACCTCTGCTTTAACAGTGGTGTGGTGGTTTGCCCCGTCACCTCGCACAGTTGTGTTCCCATTTTGAATCCAAGATGGAGGGATTCTGCTTGGAGTTAGTTTGTTCTTCCTGTGTATGCATGTATGCTCTCCGGTCACTCCTGAGTCCTCCCACAGTCCAGAAACACGCATGTTAGGTTAGTTGGTTATTCATATCTGGGTCAAAATGTTTCCATATCACTCAAACTTAATCTGCCTTACAAGTGCGTGCATCACACTGACGTTCTATAAATTACACAAAGCAAAATTAAATTCTTGGGATTTTAATTTGCTGACCAGTTCATTTTTCTCTATTCAGCCATTTGGCCAGCAGGATGCAGGTGGGATCCCCCGTCACCACGAAGCTTCTGCAGCTGCCATCAAAGTCACAGAAAGGTTTTCATTTCTACACGTGTGCACGTAGGAAACAGGCCTTTTCATACTTAGAAAGAGTCACTAACAGGGTTTGTGTGTGAATGTGTGTGGTTTTTCACAAGGTTTTGAAAAAATCCCACTTGTGTGGGAGGAGGACATGCAGATGCACTCTAACTTCCTGGACAGAAAGGTATCCATCCATGCTCTCATATCAGAATGAATTAGCTTATCATTAAGCTTTTATGTAACTAGAATAATATTTAGCTAAGAGCTAAGTGCAAACTATTTTATCTTTCACTAAGCTCATGAATGTGTACTTAAGCCTTTTTCGTGGCAGGCGGAGCTGAAGGCGGCCCACACTTCGTACCTGAGGCAGCACCCTGAAATTCGAGCCCTCATATCTGACTTCTTGCAGTTCTTGCTGCTGAGGAAACCAAACGATGTTTTCCAGTTTGCCAAAGAGTATTTTATCCCCTTTTCTTCCACCCATCCTCCAGATCAAACCTGATACTCCAGACTCCAGCCCCCGTATAAAGGAAACATGGGGCTTTGTGATCGGTTCAGTAACTTAATAGAGTTTAATAAAGTTTGGTGTACCAATGGCATTTGACTGCTAAGCAAAGTGACTCGTGTATAAAGCTTATTCCAACCGTAGGAGTTTCCCTATCGGTTTCCGGGAAAAGGCGGAGTGGCTGTTTTGAAAAAAAAAGTGCGTGGTATTTGAAAATAAATAAATAACCCAAATATGTGTCCGTTTAATATTGCTCACCTTAATGTTAGAAAATTAGTAATACTTTTTGAGCAGTTTAAAGAAATTTAAATTGCCCCCATCTTTAAAAAAAAAAAAGTTTATTTGAGACGCGACAGGATTCGTCATTTCCGGTGGGATGACGTCATTACGATGAAAGTGAAACAACTTGGAAAACTCGAAGGCAAACGATATTAAAGGTTCAAGCACAGTGTTGTACACCAAGGTGACTGGAACGAGTGACGACGAAAACTTATTTTTTTCTTTGACGCTTTGATCAAATCAAGGAGCGAATCGACAACCGTGAGTCGGAATGTATTTATTTATTAATTTTAGCTATTTCTATGGAATGTATGTCCTCTCTGGAACATTACATCGTTATGTAATGCTGGACGAAGATAGGGCGTATTTGTTTTTTCTCAATCCTAAAAAGTTCGAGTAATAGGTTTTAATGGGAAATTTTGCTTTTTTCGTTATGTTTTTTTTCAGCCTGGTGGAAGAAAGTGGTCCTGTTTGTTTTTAACGAACAGTAGGCTAGTTTTAAAAAATGGGGAGAAATAGGAAAAGGTGTTTTTTCCCTGTACATGAAAAGAAGCAACATAAAAACAAAACACAACAAGTGTGTGAAAAACTTAAATAACTTCGTGTTAAGAGTGTAAACTCTTAAACCTTCCTGTTGGTTGCATTTCACACACCAGTGGGGTTTATGAGAAACTTGATCACAATCAAACCAGTCTATGAGAAAAGACTGAGAAAGCTACTGAACTCGTAATGTTTCCCTGTTAATAACTGTATTCCAGTTATAAATACCAGACACCTTTATCTTGCTTCCTTGTAGACCTATAAACGTTTTCTGTTTCTGTTGTACTAGGTGGTTGTCTCTTTTCCTCTTCCTTCCTGTTTGTCGACTCTGTCCCCGGTGGCGTGGGCTGAGGCTCAGACCTGTGCACGTCCTGACCGGCAGGCGATGGACAGACGGACGCTGTCCCGCATTGACGAGGAGCTGGACTCCTCTGAGGTGGCGGAGCTCTGCTTCTTGTGTAGTGATGTCGTTAACAGGAGGCGCCTGGAGGGGGTGAGAGCCTCTTGTTTAATGTCTTTATAGAATACAATATGTCACAAGAAAAAGTATACACTCTGTATACTATTCTTACATCCACTGATACTTTTTAAAGTCTCTCCCCTTGAGGTTGGGCTGTTTTTTTTTGTCCTCATCCAGATTACGGACGGAAAGACACTCTTCATGAGACTTGAGGAGAAAGGCCTTTTGGAGAACAGCTCGTTCCTCTGTCAGCTGCTCCAGATCATCCATCGAGCTGATCTCCTCAACCAGCTGCAGAATGACTGCAGACAGCAAGAGGAAACGGATGCCAACCCCATCCTGTCTGCGTACAGGTAAAGGGATTGAGAAGGATGTTTTAACTGTACATGTAATGGGACGGCCGTCCTGCTTAGATGCTGTCACTTTGTTTTCCAAAGTTATTTGATTGTCCTTCTCTTTGTCTCTCTGTTGTTCTCGCTGTCAGGGTGATGCTGTATGATATATATAAGGACATGACCGAGGAGAATTTCGAGAAGATTAAGTTTATGCTGAATAGCAAGCTGGGCAGAAGGCAGCTCGAGATGAGCAAAGTGAGAGGGCACCCACACACCTCGTGAGCACTTTGGGGGGGAAAAAATCAACATGACACATCCCAAAATGCATAATACAGCTTTACTTTTTGCTTTTGAGCAACATACTACCCTAAATCTGCTTTCTCACAGACACATAATGAAGTGATTATACTTGTGACAGTGATTATCTCCATCTGGTATAAAGCATAAACCATATTGAACCCTCTGGGGGCTGAATTCAGTCACCTAAATCCAGCAAATAAGTTTGGGCAGTCATGTTTTTGCTACTTTAAGGCAGAAGCCTGCCCCTCTAAGCGGGGAGGTTTCCAATTTCTGTACTCAGTTAAAAAAAAAAAAATCCTTTTCATCTTCTTTCTACTGATTGCAGACCGTTTTGGACGTGTTTGTCGAAATGGAAAAGACGGGATTAATGTCACAAAGAGATTGCACCGAGCTCCACGCGCTGCTGCGAGACCTGGATGTGCAGCTGGCAGGGAGAGTGGAGAGGTACACACAAGGTACAAGGCCACTTCTTTACTGGAGGGGATATGCATTCTTTCTGTAAATAAATAGATGGATAAATAAATATTATGATTAATCATCATTCTTTGCACTTTGCAGCGTTACCTCCGCAAATCCAGCACATTCCATCAGGCTCCTTCAGCATAGATCAACAGGTGTGTGTGCGTGTGTGTGTGTGTGTGTGCGTGTGTGTGTGAGAGAGATCAGGTGATTTGGTGGCAAAGCAGCTGACCGCCATGATGCTTTTCTTCCAACAGAGACCTAACGTCGCTTCTCTTGCACCACTATCCTCTCTGTCCATACAGGATAATCAGTCCATCTACGATCTCCCCGTTTCAGGTACTCTTTCCTTTATCTAACGGATCCATTTTTGTTTGCGCCAATAAAAAAAAAAACCTAATCTTTGGGGGACTCTTTGGTCACAGCTTCAGAATCCCTGCTCCCCTCCTCGGGTGAAGAAAGGAGCATTTGCACTGACGCACTACCCAAAGTTGAGTCGTCCTCCCTTTCTGATGAGGTAACCCCCCCCCCACTGCTGCTCACTCCGGCCTTTGAGCATGATTTGACTTTGGGATTTTGCCCCTCAGGGGGATTACTACTCTTTGAGCCATATGCCCCGAGGCTTGTGTGTGATCATCAACAATGAGGTCTTCCCGGACACCAATCTGAGAAAGCGCCAAGGAACTCAGGAGGACGAGAGTTTGTTCTGTTTAGTTATTTCGTTTTTGGAGGTCGGCGCATTCAGGAGCGATGTTTGACAGCTGATACTGTTTGTCTTTTTTTTTTCTGTGTTACACAGAGGCTCTGCATTCAGTGTTTGAGAGATTAGGCTTTGAGGTGGTGACACACAGAGACCTGACAGCAGAAAGGATTCGCGTTGAAATGGCCAAACTTGGCAAGAGGAATTTTTCAAGCGACGATGCCTTGGTGAGTTCTTTTGTCTCACGTTGACTTCACACCTGCTCCACCAGCAGCCACTGATAAAATCTGTCAGTTTTCTTGCCTTATATTGTAGCTATGCAGTCCTTTCCCAGTGAGGTTAACATGAAGGTTCTTCTTAGGGATGTCCCGATCCAGCTTTTCTCACTTCCGATCCAATACCGGCCGATCAGAGCATGTATTAAAGTTTAAAGTTATTTAGCCTACTTACTTAGTTGTCAGACTCATGTTGAAAATGGATTTACTCTTAGAACAACTAGCCAGCTGAATTAGGTGAGTTTGAATAATACACAATGCTTGGTAAAGCGACACTGACCTGTTTATTCAGGGATAAACACAAAATAGACAAAATGATAAATAACAAACGGAAATGGCATCATTGAACAGTAAAAAGTGCAAATAGTTTTGTAAACTGTATTAAAAAGGCAAAACACACAAACAACCTGAATAGAAAATAGTCTATTAAACTCAGCATCAGTAATGGAATATTTTATTATTATGGATCAGACTTTTTAAAAACTGGATCGGCATTTTCTCCTGCCGGCCAAAATGCTTTATTTTTGCAAATATCTGCGGCCGATCCGATCCAAATATCGGACCGTGACAAGCCTAGTTCGGATGTTTTCCATACAAAGGCAGGTTTAGTTCCGGTGATGGTTGGGATTGTAAAACACAAGCTCAGCTGAGACTCGCATTACGACACACGGCGGCCTCTGTTCTCTCTGAAAGGTCATCGCCGTGCTGTCCCACGGAGACATGGGCTGCATCTTCGGCAGTGATGAGAAGAAGGTGCCGCTGCAGGACCTGACGGGCCCCTTTAAAACCGGCAGAGCCATCACTCTGGCTAGGAAGCCCAAACTCTTCTTCATCCAAGCGTGCCAGGGCAGCGAGTACCAGAAAGGATCCGTGCTGCGCCACCCGGCCAACAAGCTGGACAGCGAGGAAAACC